TTATATATATTCATTTCAGAGGACATGGGTTCCATAGTAGGTGTCCACATAGCAACCAACAACTAACTATAGTCCAGATCCAAAGGCTGTGATGTCCTCTCCTGGTATCAGACATGCACATGGTATGCAGACACACATCCAAGCAGAACATCCATATACATAAAAAGAATGCACACACATACACAATAGATAACACTTCAAAAAAAGTTTTTCTGTGTTTTTTCACATTCACTGTTTTGAAAAGCTATGCTTGTATTTTAGTTGGATTATGGCTTCATTCAAGTGTTAGGAAAGGATATTTATTATTTTTTTATTAAAGATTTCTGTCTCTTCCCCACCACCGCCTCTCCTTTCCCTCCCCCTCCCAGGAAAGGATATTTAATGTCCTCAGTGAAGTATCTGTATTCCACTCAAGGTAGTTGCTTTTTAACAGTTAGTTACAGGCTGGAATGTGGGACCACAAAAGGGAACTTTTTAAGCCACTTACACTGAAGTCTCTTGGCTAACTATTATCTTAAAGTAAATTAAAAATTTCTTAGTAGGCTATGGTGGTGCATGAGTCTCAGCCAGCATGAACTACACAGAAGGAGACTGTCTAAAAATAAGCCTTTACATTTCCTGAGGAGTTTGGTGGTGGTGGTGATAGTATTGTCGTGTTTTTGGTTTTGCTTTGTATTTTGAAAAGTTCCCCCTCCCCCTAGGCTGGCCTGGCCTGCTTGGCTGCCCGCTATCACCGCCTGGGCCTGCTGCTTGCCCCTGGGAATCTGCCAGGCTCTGGCAGCTGTTTCTGCCAGGCTGCTCCACCAGCCCGCCAGGACACGCTAACATTTTAAAAATAAAAGTGATATAAACTCAAGTGTGAAATTATTTAAAGCCTGAATACTTAACTTTTAATAATTAAGCTAAAATCACTTATACTACACTCTGTAGTTGTAGTCTTATTCTACACAAGGCAGTTTATGAAAACTCGCTGCTGGAAACTCTGTTTCTCTGGGCCTTGGTACGGAAACAAGAATAACTTATGCAGAAAAACAATCTACTTATTGTATGAAGCTTACTAACTATATACTAACACAAAATATGTATCAGAGTTTATGGTTATCTGACTCCCTAGGAGAGAGGACAAGGTACTGGAGAGATAACTCAGCAGCTAAAAGTGAGCCCACTTGGTGGCTATGGACAGTTGCAAAGGATCTGATTCCCTCTTCCAGCCTCTGAGAGCTGGTTTTCCCGTCTTCCTTTTTCCTTTCCTCTCTGTGGGGCTGGAAAATCATCTGGGAGTGTGGTGTCCAATTAACCTCGGCTTTTTCTAATTCCCTCTGATTTGGTCTGATTTGGATTGCTAAGTAGGTGGAGAGGCTTATCGGGTATAGAAACTTTTCACTCCCTTTGTAGGACAGTCCTGACAAGCTCAATAGAAGCCTGAGTCTCAGTAGTTTACCCTGAGGCAATACCTGGTTTGATAAAGACCACAAACTCAGGCACCACCCAGGAACAGACCTCCCAGAGGAAATTCCTAACATTCCAACCATTGTAGATCGCACACACCCTGCTAATGTAACTTTTCTAGGTTTTGCCTTTAAATAATGCCCTCTATGGCCTTCCAGCCACCCCCCCCACACACACACACACCCGCTCCAGAGGAGCTGGATAAAGAAGACTCGAAAAAATCACAAGTTTGTTCTCTGGGGTACAATTCAAATACCCTGTGGAAATGGTCTTGAGCATCTCTGGAGAGGGGTCATCATTTGGAAGGCTTTCTCGGAAGTAGAGTCTGGACTGAGGCAACTCCTAGAGGAGGGGCTTGGAATGGAACTTCCACCCAAACATTTCTGACTCTTTGGGTATCTGGATGCCAGCTTGGGGTCACATTTCCAACCAAACAGCATGCACCACCATGACTGGTTTAAACCAAGGTCTTTTACTATCCTAAACTATCATTTCTGAGGAGTTAAATCACTACAATCTATACTCTGTGTCACAGTCAATATTTTAATGCAACATAATTCTGTCATGCCCCTGAATGTCATAAAACATTTAAATTTATTTCAATTTTGCAATAAATTAATGCATCTGACAACTTCTATGAAAAATGAATGAATTCATTACTCGCCTTCCAAGCATGGTAAGTTCCGGAGGGATCTGTCTGATACAATCTTGGGATTCCATCGTCATCAAATCCTACAATTAAGGCTGAAATACCAAAAGGTCTTCGTCCATTGCTCTGTGTATATTTCTAAAAAATAAAATTTATTTTTACTACAACACTGTCTTAGTTACTATTCTACTACTGTAATGATTGTTCTGTCTCTTTAAGAGAGGAGAGAGAGAGAAAAGAGACAGAAGCGGGAGAAGGGGAGAAGTGGGGAGAGAGGCAGAAGCTGCCACTGAGAAGAAGATGAAAAAGAGAGAGAGCTCAGGCAGGAAGCTGAAGATCAGCCTGCCTCTGCAGATGGGGGAGGGAGTGGGCATGGTTTGTCTCTTAAAGAGACAAATCATTACAGTCTGGTCTTTAACACCTTCTGTCAGCTCTGTATATGAATGTTCCTCATGAACATCAGGGAACGGCACTATCTGAGAAGTGTGACACTATAGGAGGTGTGGCCTTGTTGGAGAAAGTGTGACACTAGAGGTTTCATAAGCCCATGCCAGGTTCAGTTCTCTCTCTCCTTGAACTCTCAGCCACTTCTCCAGCGCTACGTCTGCCTGTGTACTGTGAGGCCCCTACCATGATAACAATGGACTAGCCTCTGAAACTGTAAGACAGCCCCCAATTGAATGCTTTTTAATTAACTGTTGCCATGGCCATAGCGTCTCTTCACAGCAACAGAACCATGACTAAGACAGTATGTAATGTTTTTGACCCTGCAGAGACCTGGGCATTACAGTTGCTGTCAGGGATGCTGAGTCCTTGAGCTATGCTTCCGAAGCACACCCTAGTTTGCCTTGAGGGACACTGTAGTTACTGTTAGGCACGACTCCTACTTGATAACGCTGCTATCAAATGTGCTCTGTTCACTGTTCACTGTCATTTTCTTCAGCTCCAAAGAAAAGGGATCTTTCGTTTCTTTTGAAGAAAAGCATACATTTCCCCCACAGAAAATGTAACATTGAAACCAATTATATTTCCTATTACTTTCATGACAGGGATCTTCCTGGGTTTGTGCTCCAAAGAGCGCCATTCTCGCTGAGACCGGCTCTCTGAGGAGGCAGCCCTGACAGAAAGCTAAGGATTGAATACATAGGTAACTTGACTTAATCCCGTGGCTGACGTAGTGCTGTGTAATTCTGTGGGTTGAAACAGCTTTTAGTGATTTTCTTTTGAGCTTATCTATATATGGGATCTATTGTCTCAGTTTTCAAACTTATTATATTTCATGTTTTGCTAGCAAAATTTGATTTTAAATGCAAACAACTTAACTATGAAGATAAATAACCTGTTTTAAAGTGGGGGTTATGTCGAATTCTTCTGCACTGTCCTATGTTTCTGCTCACACTGAGGTATAACATAGATGCTTTACAGATTATCTTACAAGAAAGACCTTTTAACTTACTTGTTTAGTCTTTTCATTTTGTGAAAAAGTCATATAACCAAAGTTAAATATGTAAGGAAAACGCTGTATCTCTGTCCCAGAGGCCTTGTCCTCCCCAGTGGCAATCTTACTGTCACAGACTTACAACTTTGTACTATCTATTCAAAGCCTTGATTTCTCCAGAAGAGATCTTAACAACCACACTTAAGAACCTTGTATGTATACTTGTTTTTGGTGTCCTTTTTCTATTTTTTATTTTTATTTATTTTTTTGTTTTGTTTTTATTTTTCAAGACAAGGTTTCTCTATTTAGTTCTGGTTGTCCTGGAACTAACTTTTGTAGACCAGGCTGGTCACAAACTCATTGAGATCTGTCTGCCTCTGCCTCCAAGTGCTGGGATTAAAGGTGTGTACCACTACCGCTAGAATGATGAATTCCTTTTTTAACAATTGGGAAAACTGAAACAAAATATGAAAGTAGCAATACAAAAATTTTGGAATTTCTTCTAAAATGAAGTAGCAAAGCTTTTAAAAACCAAAACAGTGATTTGATATATATTATTTATCTCAAAACTTTCTTATTTGGATTACAAAGAGTCCATGAAAAAGTCTGCATATAGAACCAGAGTACCTGTTTTGCCAGAGCAGCAAGATGTGCAAGTCAGCGAATCAGGAGGGTTCGTACTAACACTCATGCTCACTAGGAGATGCAAAGAATCGATTCTTAAAGGCAGTAAGATACAGAAGAGCCAGGATTACAATCAAAGTTACAGAAAATAGGGAATGAATATGGTATGAATGCACATAAAAGTCCAGGCCACAAAGATGAGCCAAACTGTGTCTTTTTGTAGGATAATGAACAGAACTGGAAACAATCATATTAAATGAGTTATGCCAGCCTCAAAGAGACAAAATGATATATTTTCTCTGATTTTTGGTTCATGTTTTGTATAGACATGTAGATTCATGACATGAAAGCAGAAGAGAAACTGCACAGAGGAACAGAGGATATCATGGGGGAGGACAGGAGGTAGGATAGACATGGAGGAATTTACTCAACATACACTATATACGTCTTTAAATTCAGAAACAAGTTTGAAAAAGGAATGTAGGCCTGGTGAGATGGTTCAGTGCTTGCTGCCAAGCCTGATGTGAGTTCTGTCACCAGGACCCACCTCCAGGTTGTCTTCCATATGTATACTGTGACATATGCCCCTGTCCCCACAATAAGTAAATTTAATTTTAAAATGTTTCTAAAGAGAAAATAAGTGGACACAAATCTGTATAGTGAGCATCCTGTTCAAGATTAGGCAGCAAAAAACAATGTTTCTGTTGAAGGACAATTTGCACAAGTAGAAATGAAAAGAATGAACCAACATGGAAAATTCAATCTCATTAGCTACAATACACAAATTAAAGCAGCTATTACATTAACGACACTCACTAACAAAAGAAAAGAAGTGAAAACCTCCATGGCGACTCTTCTGGCACAGCGGGTTACATGATAAAAACTGGTTCAATCTTTCTAGAAAGCAATCTGTCACATACAATAAAAGTCTTACATCAATTATAATCTCCAATCCAGGAAACCCTACTAAAACCTAACAGTACAACTTTAAAAAGCAAAACAAGCCATGACCAAACAGAATCATGCTAGGCTAGCAGAGAGGAGGAGAACAAGACGCTGAAATGACGTCCATTTTCAAACCATCATCGGAAATGTCTCAGTTTCTAACATAGATGCGAGAGAACGCCCAGGAAGGAGTCTCCAGCCAATACACAGTATGCAAACAGCAGGTGAACCCTTAGGCCTGCACGCATACTTACACCTGGCTTTCAATGACATGGCTAAGTATAGATTCAGAAGAGCGCACATCTAACCCTGATTAGGGTATTTTGGTTTTTAGGTAAAATAATGTATTATTTCTTTGAAAAACTTTAAGGAATAATATTTTTATTGTGTTTCTACAAGAATAAAAATGACCTTTCAAAATTTGACACTTTCTTAAAATTTTTATAATTCCAAGAACTGAAACTGATTTTGATTCTGGTGATTAACATAACCCACTTTACCCAAGTAAGTGAATGAAGTAATTGTGAGAATGAATAAGAAATTTGACACACTCAGTAGAATAAATGTTTGGAGCTAGTGCAGCATGTTTATGGCAGGACCAATGACAGTGGAAAGGAGAAAGCTGAAAAACTGCTAAGAGTACCTGCTCACCTGCTTCAACGTCGCTATGAAGCGCGTTATGTACTCCACGGTGACTGGGTCCTCCACAGTAAGCTTATGGCTCTGGCACTCCACCCGTGCTCTGTTTATAACCACCCGAGCATCAGCCGTCAGACCTGCGAAATTGTCAACACTTAAAAATCTATACATCTCTCTCTCTCTCTCTCTCTCTCTCTCTCTCTCTCTCTCTCTCTCTCTCTCTTTCTCTCTCTGTATGTATGTATATGTATATATATATATGTATATATATTTCCCCATCAAAAGTTATCTTTTCCCTACAACACTGCCTTCATAGAGGAACTAGGAAACACCATGTGCCTTAGCTGCGACTCATTTCCTTTAAAGACTTCATTCCACATACTCCTCACTGGTAAAGGAAACAGCAAATGACTTGTTAGTAAATTGTATGTTTTTCTTATGCGAGCAAGGAAGGTATTCTATCCTGAAGCATACCAATATTGTATTCAAATTATACTTGATGAACTGGGATATAGCAGTTCTCAATTTTTGTCAAAATGGAAACTTTGAAAATCAAGGATGTTAATTAAGACAGGCAGACTCTGACTGAGCTTCTGAAATAGCCAAAAGACTCATCCAAACAACTCTCAGCATGTCTGTAAGGAGACAGTGTGTTCTAGCTGAAGCCAGAGACTGACCGCAGCATGTAACTGACAGATTAGTTTGATTGTATAAATTAAGGACGACACTGGTATTTGACTGTTCTACAGCCATTTGGGTTTTTTTTAGCCCTTTAAAAAAAAAAGAAAGATTTATTTTGACCTGTGTGTGCGTGTGTGTGTGTGCACGCACACACAGCAATATGAATGCAGATACCAGAACAGGAAGAAAAGGGCGGTAGATTCTCTGGAGCTGGACCTAAAAGTAGCTGTGAGCTGACTGGCATGGTTGCTGGGGACCAACCAGGTCTCTGCAAAAGTATTCCACACTCTGATTGCGGCACCTCTCCAGACCCCTTCCATTCCTCCTTTACCACTAACTAGACTGAACCCCAGGTTCACTCATCTTGTTAACGGGCACTTCGCACATAGCCGTTGTTCTTTTTCATCACGAGATTTACCTTCCCCATCATGTCAACCTTGTTGCTACATCCACTTGGATCTTCACCCCTTGAAACAGGAGGGCATAAAGAAAATGGAGTGTCTGAATATTCGCCAGTTTAAAAATCACCCTGACACAGGTCAGGTATGATTTGATTAAAGAAAGAGAAAGTAATTCTCTGTACATCTAAGAGGAAGGACTAGCTAGCAATGGCCTAATCTACCCCAGGTTAGTGTTTTATGCAACTAAAATAGTTCAGATAAGCTACTTGAGAATATGTCCTCTGTACAGTGTGAACGTGATCCACAGCTAGAGAAACGCTGACATTAAACATACTTAGAGTGGGGCTAGGGAGGGCGCCACAGACAGCAAAATCAGCTTTGACTTTGGTGCTGGCAGGTTACATGTGTCAAAGTAATACCAAGTCCTTCTGCTAGGCTTAACCCTGTGCAAACAGAGCGCTTATTCCATTTCACCAGGAATGTGTGACTGTGCTTTCGGCATGAGCTTCAGCAGCTGGACGGTTGGCTGGCTGTCTCCTCCTCCCCTGAGCACTTTGCTGCTCTTTCTGCTCTAGCATCTCTTTATCATTCCCGGTGCTCTTCCTTTCTCTCTTCTGATGATGTGGTTTACAACTCCTATCCTAAAGGTACATAGGCAACCTGTTAACAGTAGTGGCTCATTCATACCATGCAACACTACCAACAACACAAACCAAAGCCACTACTGAGGCATCCAACAGCGTGAGACAGCTGCAGAAGGATGATGTGGCACGAACAAGATCATCTGAAAAGGCTCCCCACCATGCTGTTTCATTCCATTTTTTATTTTATTTATTTATTTATTTATTTTTGGTTTTTCGAAACAGGGTTTTTCTGTAGCTTTGGAGCCAGTCCTGGAACTACCTCTTGTAGTAGACCAGGCTGGCCTTGAACTCACACAGATCCGCCTGCCTCTGCCTCTCACTGGGACTCAAGGCTTGCCCAACCCCACCTGTCATGACTCTTTTTTTAACTATAAAACTTACAAAATACTATGGGACAGGAAGCGGTTCAGTTGCAAAGTACCTGCATCACAAGCATAAGGATCTGAGTTAAGCTCAAGGCACCCACATGAAAAATTGATACAGTAGGTCACAGAGCAGCATTAGCCTTTTTCAAGGTTGATCAATACTTTGATTTTCTAACCATTAATACTGACAGTGCAATTTCACATAAATGAATAGAACAAAATGACAGATATTAAATTAATTTAATAAAATGACAGAAATTAAAGTAATTTCCGAAATAATTGGAAATTCTGTGCTGTCTATAACGAAGACAGGATAGTGTTCTGCTGCTGTGAAGAGACACCATGAGCAAGGCAACTCTTTTTAGTTGGGGAATTGCTTCCAGTTTCAGAGGTTTAGTCCATTATCCGGGAGCACGGCAGCAGGCAGGCAGGTGCTGAAGCAGCAGCTGAGAGCCACGCCTGATCCTTAGGTAGAGAGACAGAGAGAAACTGGGTCTGGCTCAAAGCCCACCCCCAGTGACACACTTCCTCCAGCAAAGCCACACCTCCTAATCCTCCTCAAGTAGTGCCACTCCCTGATGACCAGGCATTCAAATACATCAGACTATGATGGCCATTCTAATCCAGACCACATGTACTAAACCAAATTCATTGAATGATTTTTTTTTATGAAACTCAAGTCAATATTTCAAACAACTTTTAAAATCAAATATTTTAACTCATACAATTCAAAGACACTAATTTGATATATTTTGAGAAATGGTGGTAGAAAATATTATCTTTGTTTCCCATAATGAAGTCATTATGTTACAAGAGTAAAAGCTTTGCATATAGTTAAAAACATTGCATATATATGTGTGTGTATACATGTAAATATATACATATATATATACACACATACATATATATGAGCTCAGGTGCTTCAGTGTAAAGGTTGTGGTGTGTGGCTGGCTACATGCATAGTTAAAATGCACATTTGTTCACATGTGTGTTCACAGCCAAGTTTATAGAGCTGCTTCATGCAACACAGGCAAGCACTTCTAAAGGAGCTCTGACTCATATCTGTTTTATCCTCAGTTAATTTCTGTTTTTGTGCATTCTGAAACCTTTTACTGTTGTCAATTTTTTTCAACCTCACATTTAGTTGGGTCACAACTCACAGTTTAAGAAGTTGAGACTTAGCATGCATGAGGTCAATCTGTAGCCCAGCACACGCAAATGAATCCCTCCCTCTCTCCCTCCCTCTCTTTCCTAAACTGGGCTCACTAGTTAAGAGGTCTTGCACAACATCAAGTTTAGTTACCTACACCTACACGTTGGGCAGCTCGTAACTCCAGCTGCAGGGAACTGAAAGCCTCTTCTGGCCTCTGCAGGCATCTATACTTACACGCAGAAACCCACACACATATACATATAATACAAATAAAAACAAGTAAGTAGACTCATTTAAAATTCTATGTTGAGGAATATTATTTTCAGACCCCCCAGAAGAAAAAAAAAACCCTCAGTAATTCTATAAATTCTATGAATTATAAGTTCTTAAGTTATAAGTAAGGAGAAGGCCATCTTCGCATTTACGCTCTAGCTATCAAAGACCATTGTAAGTGTGGGGGTCTGAAAGAACACGCCCCATAGGGAGTGGCATCATTAGGAGGGGTGGCCTTATTGGAGTAGATGTGGCCTTGTTCTTTGAGGAAGTGTATCACTGTGGGGGTGGGCTTTGAAGTCCCCTTTGCTCAAGCTACACCAAGTGAGGCACAGGTTGCTCTTCCTGTGGATCAAGTTGCAGTAGAACTCTCAGCTCCTTCTCCAGCACCATGTCTTCCTGCGTGCCACCAATGTCCTGCACTGATGAAAATAAACTAAACCTTTGAAACTGTAAGCTAGTCTCAATTTTCTTTACAAGAGTTGTTCGGTCATGGTGTCTCTTCACAGCAATAGAAACCCTAACTAAGACCATGAGAAACCACAGTTTATAGAACTGAGGCCTTTTAAATATAGGTGACACTTTGTTTTAAATAGAAATAGGTCTGACTACATATATTGTTATATTGTGTAGATACACAAAACAGTGGCAATAGGACAACCGTGCTATCCCACTACAACATTATATATCATACATACCACTGAAAGTCTGTACATACCCGCAAAAGCCATGCAGACATGGTCATCGAGAGCACATATTTTTCTCACAGTTCTTTCATCTTGAAGTTTGGCCACTGATTTTTTTTCTACCCCAAGCACAACTATATTAGTTCCTCGAATTCCAACCTGTAAAGCCAATTTTAAAAAGTAAATTTAAAGTAAAAATGACCAATTATTCTAACATGTCTTTAAAACAATAAAATAAAGAAGGAGCTGTGTAGGAGATGAGATGCACAGGTACCGGCTGAGAGGATTCCTAGTCCCCAGCCACAAGACAAAGAAGACCAATAGAAGAAAATACAAAGAAAATAAAATCAGTGGTAAATCTATGCAAGAGTCTTAATCTTCCACAAAACACACAAAAATGAAACCTAAATGTTGCAGTGCAGAAGAGTTCCACATTAGCCCAGAATGGAGTATAACCAAGGTTTATTTATTAGAGGGTAAGCTCACAGAAAGAGTAGTGCTGGAACCAAATCCAGCAGTCAATGAGCACATGTAAACTTTTACATCTGCATTTATAGTACATAAAACCACGCCCAAAGTGGGCAAGTATCTTAAAGGCTATTGGCTGAAGGAGTTCCCACACTACCTCCCTGTTATGCCTATACTGGCAGTTTGTCAGTCACTTTCTTCTGTGCCCTGCAAAATGTCTGGCAGACTTCTATGAAGTAGAAATCCTGAAGGACCATCCTGTTTTTTGGAAAGTTCAATAGTCACTTATCTGTGGGTCCTGGATGTCCAGTTTATACAGTATATCATCTCCATATCATATCCCCCTTTAAATGAAAAACAAACATTTACAAACTGTAATATAATATAATAATTATATTATTACAAAATAATTTGGGGAATTTGGGTGTAGTTTTTGAGATTACTTCCTGCTGATTATTGTACGAAGTATTCTTAGGGTTCATGGAGAACTTTGGGGGAATCTTGTTTCATCAAACCACATTAGCCTGGAAGGGATCCACAGGTTCTCAGCTTCAGTGGAAACAAAAGCAGAACCTCTTTTCCAAAACAACATATACTTAGACCCAAATTTTGAAGACAACATACTTTTTATATATATAGGCTTAGCTTAGCAAATGCCAGAATCAAATATTTCTCTGTAGTCAAAAAATTCAAAAAAACACAGTAAGATACATAATCCAGACTCTGTGTATATTTCTTCTTTATATGGCTTATTTTTTATGTCTTTAATCTATGACTGTCTGTACTTTTATATTACTGTCTCTTTAAAGACTTTTATTTTTTAACCTATTTCTTTTTATAACTGTCTATATTCTTTTTCTTCTCTCTCCCAAGCCTACATACATTTAGTGTTTGAATCTGTCTTATTGTGTATCTATAATCATTTTCTGATCAGGAGTGTCTTTTTTTCTAAATGCTAAGCAGCATGGTTAGGACTAAGGCTGCTTTGCCTTTTGGCCCTGCTCAGTCCAACATTGTGTGGTGTAGGACAATTCTATATTCTGTCAATTATGTTTTAAATAAACTCTGATTGGCCAGTAGCCAGGCAGGAAGTACAGGTGGGACAACCAGACAGGAAGTAGAGGTTGGGCAATGAGAACAGGAGTATTCTGGGAAGAAGGAAGCTCTTTCCACAGTCCTTCCAGACACTGAAGAAGCAGGATGTGATCTACCCCACTGAAAAAGGTACTGAGCCATGTGGCTAACATATACTAGAATGATGGGTTAATATAAGTTATAAGAGTTAACAAGAAGCCTGAGCTAATAGGCCAATCAGTTTTATAACTTATGTAGACCTTCTGTGTGATTCTTTGGGACCTGGTGGGAGTAGAGAAACCAGGCAGGACAAAAACTCCAACAACAATTGTGGAGGAAGGGACATTCACCACCAGTTCTGCGAGACATGCTCACATTACCAGCTCCAGGGATGCAACAGGTCTATTGTCACCATTAAGCAATTTCTAACATGCTGCTCACTGACCCCATTTAAGTACAGGACCTCCTGAAAAGAGTCAGAGTTTGTTCTTCCAACATGAAACAGGAAGCTGGATCTTAAAGAAGCCATTAAATGTTTTGCAGCTAACATTGAGTCAGGAAGACTTCTCTTAAAGGAGCTATGTCTCTGCTTGCTGCCAGCAAACAGAGTCTATCTGAAGAAATGTAGCTACTAAGAACCTGTGCTTAACTCTGTTCTTTTGTGTCTAGAATTCCTTCCCAAGCTCTCTCAGTTTTTATGTGGATGTAGTTGCCCCCATGCTGGGGCCATCTGTAATCAGAGACTGTGTGTTAATTTCCCAGCTCCCCAGACCTGAATAATCACACAGAAAGTATATTAATTACAACATTGTTTGGCCAATGACTCTAGCATATCCCTAGCTACCTCTTTCCTCTATCAATCTGTGTGTTGTCATGAGGCCGTAGCTTACTGGCAAGGTTCCTAAAGTTCCGTGTGTCTTTCTCCTTAGGCAATTTGTTGGTGGAGACTGCTTGCTCGTTTCCCAAATGCTCAGACCCAAATAATCACATAGAAACTATATTAATTACAACACAGCTTGGCCAATAGCTTAGGGTTTCTTATTGGCTAGCTCTTATAGATCATAAAATGATCCATTTCTATTCATCTTTATCACTACGAGATTGTGATCTACCAGGTAAGGTTCTGTCGTCCTTCTCCTTTGGCAGCTACATGGCATCTTTTTGACTCTGCCTACTTTCTATATCTCTGTTTTAATTTCCTGACCGGCTTTACTCTGCTAAGCCATTGGCTTAAACAGTTTTATTCATTAACCAATAAAAGCAACACATATACAGAAAAATTTCTCACATCACCTAAATATACAACTTTAGGAGAATGAAAGAAGATGCAAATCAGTATTAGCAGAACTAATATTGATGAAAGCGTCTATCAATATTGATAGAAGGTTGGGTCTGGGAGAGGACCCTTTGAGTAAGAAACTTGCTATATGAGAATGAAGACAGTATCCACACAAAGGTCAGGCATACTTGCAAGTATTTGTAGTCCCTGGGGACAGAGAAAGGGGATGCCAATAACGAGCCACCTTGCCAGCCAGTCTAGTTGACATGGCAGGTGTCTGGTTCAGTAGAGGCCCTCTTTCAAGTCAAGGTGGAAAGTGGTAGAATTAAGGTGCCTGCTATCCTCCTTGATCTCCATATATGCACGTACAGGTACATATACCTGCACACTCATGTATACACACCACACAAGACAACACAGATACAATGAGGGCAAGAATTCTTTTAAAAATAGTTTTCTTATTTGTAGGCTTAAAATATAATTACATCAAGGTAAGGGGTTGAGGGAACAGTTCAGTGGTATAGCACTTGTCCAACAACTAAAGGCCCTGGATTCAAACCTCAACATTAGAACTAAGTTCAGCAGATAAAATACCACAAAATCTTTCCCATACAGCTCAAATTAAGAGGCCCAAGAATTAGGGGCTTGCTGTGCCCCAATACATATATTGAAATGCAAATTCCATGTATCAGAACACAGGGCCTTTGAGAGGTGATAATATTCTAAAGGTGGAACATTAATAGGCAGAGTTACTATCATCATCTTGACAGGCATTAAAATCAGATAGGAGATAACAACTATAGGCATTCTTGGGAGGGATTATCTAGATTAAATTAAGTGAGGTAGGAAGGCCCCCTCAACATAAATGTGGGTGGTACTGTTCTAATGGGCTGGGTTCCTGGACCAAACAAATAGAAGAAGATAGGCTGAAGATTTTTTCTTTCTTTCTTTTCTCTCTCTCTCTCTCTTTTTTTTTTTTTTTTTTTTTTGGTTTGTTCCTTGAGACAGGGTTTCTCTGTGTAACAGACTGCCCTGGAACTCACTCTGTAGACCAGGCTGGCCTCGAACTCACTGAAATCTGCCTGCCTCTGCCTCCCATCAACCACTTCCCCTCTCCTCCGAGATCCATTGCTTCTCTACTTCCCTTCAGAAAAGAGCAGGCCTCCCAGGGATATCAGCCAAATAAGGCATAACAAGACTTAATAAGACTAGGCACAAACCCTCATATCAACCTACTGGGACTAGGCAACCCAATAGGACAAAAAGGATCCCAAGAGCAGGCAAGAGTCACAGACACCCCCACTTCCACTATTAGGAGTCCTACAAAAACCACAAGCTAAATAAACAGCTGTAAATAAATATGCAGAGGATGCATGAAGGCTCCATTATTGTCCCTTCAGTCTCTGTGAAGGCCTATAAGCCCTGCTTAGTTGATTATGTGGGCTATGTTCATCTGGTGTCCTCAACCCTTTGGTTTCTACAATCCTTTCTTCCCTTCTTCCTCAGTGTTCCCCAAGTGCCACCTTATGTTTGGGTGTGGGTCTCTGCATATGCTCCCATAAAGCTTTTTTTTTTTAAATTTCTGTGAAGAATGTTGGAATTTTGATAACACTATTTCCACTATATTAATTCTTCCAATTCACAAGCTTAAGAGTTTTCTCCAGCTTTAAGTGTCTTTTTTTTGTTTCTTCTGTTTTAAAGATTTTATTGTAGACATCTTTTTCCATGGTTTATTCTAAAGGATTTCATTTATTATTGATCTGAGAAAGGGTTTCACTACACAGTACTAGTTGGTCTTGAACTCTGTATGAAGACCAGCCTAGTCTCAAACTCAAGAAAATCTACCTGCCTCTTCTGCCTAACTACGTATGGTACACTTCCATCCCTTTGTAAAGCCTACCTGCTCTGCCTCTTCCTTCTAAGTAGGTATGATACACTCCTGTCCCCTTTAAAAGCCCACCTGTGTCCGCCTCTTCCTCCTAAGCACATATGATACACTCCCATCCCTTTTTTTAAAGCAACTGTGAATGGCATTGTTTCCCAATTTTTTTTAAAAGAATGATTTTATTTGAGCATATGATAAAACATTTTTCTCAGCAATTAAAGGGGAAATGTAATATTTACCATTTATTATGCTACAGAAAAGCAGTATTGATATAGAAAATTAATAAATACATTTATATAAATGAATCTTAGAACCTTGGAAGAAACTCAAAATCAATAGAGTGAAATAATTAAATTGGGCATGGTGGCACACCCTTTAATCCCATCACCAGGAAGACAGAGGCAGGCAAATCTCTGTGAGTTCAAGGCCAACCTGGTGTACTGAGTGACTTTC